GTACACTCCCTTTGAAGCCCATGTCAAGTGACAGGGAGACACAGGGTAAGGGGACAGCAGGCTGTGAAGCGTAAGGACTGGCTCAGGATCTGAGAAGTGCCTGTGGAGCATTTAACAGAGAATGGAAGACTTCCCTGGGAAGGAGAACAGAGTTTCCCTTGGCATCCAGGAAGGATTGGTTCCAGAATCCCTTGCAGTCACGAAAATCCAAGGATGCTCAAGTCCCTTATATAAAACATCATGGTATTCCAAAGAACCTACACATTTTCTTCTTGTATACTTTTTTTTTAATTTGACAGATAGAGTTACAGACAGTGAGAGAGAGAGACAGAGAGAAAGGTCTTCCTTCCATTGGTTCACTCCCCAAATGGCCGCAGTGGCCAGAACTGTGCCGATCCAAAGGCCAGGAGCCAGAAGCCTCCTCCGGGTCTCCCTTGCGGGTGCAGGGGCCCAAGAACCTAGGCCATCCTCTACTGCTTTCCCAGGCCACAGCAGAGAGCTGGACTGGAAGAGGAGCAACCAGGACTAGGACCAGTGCCCATATGGGATGTCGGTGCCACAGGCAGAGGATTAACCAAGTGAGCCACGGCGCCGGCCCTCCTGTATACTTTTTTTAGATTTTATTTATTTATTTGAAAGAGTTACACAGAGAGAGAAGGAGAGGCAGAGAGAGAGAGAGAGGGAGAGAGAGAGAGAGAGAGAGAGAGAGAGAGAGAGAGAGAGAAGTCTTCCATTCTCTGGTTTACTCCCCGATTAGCCGTGACAACTGGAGCCGTGCCGATTTGAAGGCAGGAGCCAGGAGCTTCTTCCAGGTCTCCCACGTGGGTGTAGGGGCCCAAGGACTTAGGCCATCTTCTACTGCTTTCCCAGGCCACAGCAGAGAGCTGGATTGGAAGTGGAGCAGCCAGGTCTTGAATTGGTGCCCATATGGGACACTGGCACTGCAGGCAGCGGCTTCACCCGCTATGCCACAACGCTGGCTCCCTTCCTGTATACTTTCATCTCCAGTTGATTTATTATACATACAACAAGGTAAATGCTACATAGATAGTAGTTATAGAGAACAATGAAAGAAAAAACATCTCCACAGTTACAGTAGAATTTTTTTTCCAACTGTGTTTGGTCTGGGGTTGGTGGAATCAGTGGGTACAGACAGCCAGCTGAGTTAGGACTTACGACCATGAGGAATCCTTGGGCAGTGCAAAGGCAAACATCATCTGGGCAATAGGGGGCCCACACTCAGCTCTGCTGAGCAACGTGCAGTTGTACTGAACAAAAGTCCTGAGCCACTCCAGCAAACCTGTCCCAGAGTGCCTGGGGGTGGTGTAAGCTGGGGCAGCAGGGTCATGGCTTGCCTGTAGCAGCCAGCCATGTCACACGAAGGCATGGCCTGGTGTCCTGCCCTGCATGTGGAGACCACTCAGGCATTCAAGTAGCACTGATTGCATTGGATGGAAACACGGAACCCATGATGCTTGGCCCTGTAATGAAAACATGAGGGCTAGCCTGAGGTGACAGGGGAGAGCCAAACGCAGCACTTGGGAGTCTCAGGGAAAGCAAGAGAAACGGTGCCGTGGTGCAAAGGTGGCACTGGGCTTTCCAGGAGGCACATGGGGCTCTTCACTGGGACATTGGCAAAACAGGGGCACGAGAATGGGACAAGGCACTAAAGTTCTGATTTTGCATTAAAAATATAGAAACAAGGGGCCAGCGCTGTGGCATAGCAGGTAAAGCTACCGCCTGCAGTGCCGACATCCCATACAGGCACTGGTTCGAGTCCCAGCTGCTCCTCTTCTGATCCAGCTCTCTGCTATGGCCTGGGATAGCAGTAGAAGATGGCCAAACTCCTTGCACCTCTGCACCCACGTGGGAGACCCAGAAGAAGCTCCTGGCTCCTGGCTTCAGATCAGCTCAGCTCTGGCCATTGCAGCCATCTGGGGAGTGAACCGGCAGATGGAAGACTGCTCTCTCTCTCTGCCTCTGAAGTGCTTGGTCTCAGCTTGCGGGACCCCTAAAACTGTAACACGTGACTGAGAATGAGGCTGGCTGAGAGCTCTCAGGAGAGGAAGATGAAGAAAGCAAAACTACATTAGGTTTGTGGGCGGGAGGACAGGGGCACTCAGGAGAGAGGCCCACAGATTTTCCCTCCTGCACTCAGCTGAGAAGGTGCCCCTGTTTTTGCCAGAACTTTCCCAGACTTTGCATGCTCACCTCCTTCTTCTCCAACCTTCTCTCCTGTGCCGGTGGGTCAGAAGGAAGGGGTTTGGTCCCGCAATTTACTTTATGATACTCTGTGATATTCGCCACCAAATGCAGTCCTGGTGCGTCTTTTCTGATCTCCTTATCTTCCATGGCTTTAATTCACATCTGTGAAGACTGTTCTCAATTGGGCATCTCTAGTCTCACTTTTCCCTCTTGACCCAGTCCCAGTCCTTGTGTCTCACGGCCTGCAGCCCAATTACACCACCTCTCCCTGTCACATGACATCCTGGGCTTCAATGTGAAGGCACCACTACCTTCACCAAATGAGCAATGCTGACTTCTCTATTTCCATTACAGTGATGGGGGCTTGGGGCACACTGCCCCAAAATATGACTGTAGGAAACCAGAACACACTACCCCCAGATATGCCACTTTGGCTTAAGGATTATTCTGAGAAGTTCTAAGAAGTGACTCTTGCATAAGAGAAAGTTACTACCTCTATGAAGGAAATCCCCATGACTGGGCATGCTCTCTGTAGCAGGGATCACTGGAGACTTTTAGTCCATGAGGAAGACACTGACTGACTTAAATCTGCATAACTAACCTGACCTCGTTTGAAATTTAGCGGCACCTTACCCTACAGCCTCTTCTTTGCTTCAGAGAAACAAAGATGGTTCTTAAGCCTGAAGTTTAAACGGCATCTTTGAGATCTATTCTAGAGATGTCCTCATTTCTCTGGGTTATTGCCCATAAACTACTGCTAATTTTTCCCTTGTTAGTCTGTCTCTTGTTACAGGGAGTCCTGGCTAAGAAACTATTAAGGGAAGAGGGGGAAATGGTTTTTCCTCCCATACACAGCCATCCTCGTTCTCCAAGTCATCTAGGTCTGCACTGATAGATAATTTTCTATTCTCTCTTTCCTTGCAACTTAGCATGCTTCTTGGTTAGTTGGTGGCTTTGTCCATTTTCTGTTTCTACAACAGGACACCTGAGACTGGAATCTTTAAAAAGAAAAGAGGTTTACGGTGCACCACAATTGTGGAGGCTGAGATGTGCAAGATCCGAAGGCCACATTTATTGAGGGCCTCATGGAAGGGAAATCAAGGGGAAGCCAGGGCATGTGAACAAGAGGAGACATGAAGGATGGCCTTCCTTTATGACAACTCAGTAAAAACCACAAGGATGTTGCTTTGGACTAAGCTCCTGTACTGGGTCCCTGCAGATCAGGCTGAAAATGAAAATGGAGACACCCAGGCTAAAGTTACATGTCACCAATCTGAAGCTAAGCCACTCCTGTGACCTTCAGAGAAACTAAGATTAGAGAGGTAACAGCCAAATGATTCAAACATGCCAGTTTCAGTTGACATGGACACAGAGTTGGTTCTGCATTAATCCTTGCACAGAAGAGATAACCTGGAGTAACTTGATGTTAACCTGTGAGTGATTCTTCTATCACTTTGTCCCTACTCTGAAATGACCAGCTCACCTTTTGCTGCTTTGTTTCTGCTTTCTTCAGCTTTCTCTGTCTTAAAAAACAATCTTTTCTGCTCGTCCCATCTGAACATTTCCTGTATTTTGTGGAATGAAGAGTGGGCTGATTCTAGAAGAAGGCCCATGACCTTCTTTACACTAAACTTTGGAAATTTTCTCCTTTGAAATAACTGACTCTTGCAGTAACTTACCCAGACCTGCTAGAGTAAGAACCCATTCAACTCCTTTGTAAGGGAGGATCCCTTATGATACAAGTGCCTCTTAAAGTTCCTACCACCTCTCCACACCGTGACACTGAGGACCAAGCCTCAAGATAAATTTTGGGAGGGACGGACCCTATTCAAACCACAGCACCTGATCCTGTAAAACTTCCCTTTCCAAATAGATTTTTTTCCTTCTTGGAACCAAATTGTCTCAAGGATTCAGGCTCTTTCTTTTTCTCATGGTTGGCAAGTCACAGTGTCAACTGGCAAATATATGTTGGGAGAAATGATGGAAGAAAGAGGCCACTCCTTTGGAAACACCATTAGAGGATGAGCAACCAGAAGTCAGGGACAAAGTCTGAATGTTCCCCAGTGTCTGGCAAAGTTGTTGGCACAGAGAAGGCTCTCCAGATAGGCTAACTGGATGTTAGCTGGAGGAGAAGCATGAACAGACACCAACGAGGCCTTCCTCCAATCTCTGTTGCTGCTCATCCAGCCTATTGAGCTTTCATGAGTATTTCATACTTTCAGATGACTCCCTTCTTCAAAATTTTGTTTTTCTGGGGGTGAGTGTTTGACCTAGCAGTTAAAACGCTGCATCCCATATCAGGGTGCCCAGGTTCAAGTCCTGTCTCTGCTTTGAATTCTAGCTTTCTGCTAATGTGCACTCTGGAGGCAGCAGGGGACGGTTCAAGTAATTGAGTCCCTACCACCCATGTGAGATTCCTGCCCTGAGTCTGGGGTTCCTGGTTTCAGCCTGGCCCTGTCCTGGTCATTGTAGTTATTTGGGGGAGTGAACAGGGGATTAATAACTTTCTCTCTGGGCCCGGCGCCATGGCTCACTTAGTTGATCCTCCGCCTGCGGCGCCAGCGTCCCATATAGGCATCAGGTTCTAGTCCTGGTTGCTCCTCTTCCAGTCCAGCTCTCTGCTATGGCCCAGGACAGCAGTGGAGGAGGGCCCAGGTGCTTGGGCCCCTGCACTCGCATGGGAGACCAGGAGGTAGCACCTGGCTCCTGGTTTCGGATCGGTGCAGCACGTCGGACATAGCGGCCATTTGGGGGGTGAACCAATGGAAGGAAGACCTTTCTCTCTCTCTCTCTCTCTCTCTGTCTGTCTGTAACTCCACCTGTCAAATAAATAAATAAAAAATCTTAAAAAAAAAAGAACTTTCTGTCTTCCTTTCATGTAACTGTATGTAAATAAACAAAAATTTCTGTTCCCTGTGGATAAACCCTTTGTTTGGCATTTGAGGACTAATGCATTTGACTTGAAGGCAGAGAGAAAGCTGAGATGTGTGTGTGCGTGAATGTTTGTGTTGAGTGGCTGCAAGGGGGATGAGACTAGACTGGACAAGGGGATTGAGTGAGGTCAACAAACAAGCTCTGCCCTTCTCACATACTTACCCCCTTGGGATTTATTCGGGTCACTGAGGTCTTGTGAGCCTTGAGAATGATGACTTGAGAGATCAAGAAGCATTTCTGTTTCTTTCCAGGGCACTGCTGTGGCCTCTTGTGATGGAAATTCTACCCAGTGTTTACCTTTGGTGAGAGAGCTGCCTTCAGTCACTGTCCAGGGTTCACAAGGCCAATTAGGCATCACTTGCTGGACCCCTGAGGGTGACATCTGCTGTGGCATCACTGAATTAAGAGAAGCCAGACAGAGAAGGCAACTGTCAGGGTTAGCCTCTGGAGGAGGCCACAAAATCCTTGCCTGGTGAGCTCATGGTAAATGAGCCCTGAAAGAGGGAAGAAAAGGGAGCAGCACTGGTGACTATTTTTATTATTCATTTACTTGGCAATAGAATTCTGTAAAGCACTCTGACGTCATGAGAGCTGTGGAAGACACAATCCTGCAAGGATCAGACTCTGTTCCTGCCGAGGTGTAGGGTGTACAGCACACTCCCCCTTATGGCTGATGGGCAGGGGCCACTTGTTTCAGTAATTGCATAGCTTGCCCTCTGTGTCCGTGGATTCCAGCTCTGAGGATTCAACCTCCCACAGATGGAAAATATTGGAAAAAGCTATCTTTATCACACATGTATAGGCATTTTTTTCTCGTCATTATTCCTAAACAATACAGTACAACAACTTCCATAACATTTACATTGTACTTGTTGGAATTTATACATTCTATTTACATTGTATTAGATATGATAATTGAGGGATGAATGAAAGCCATGAATTTTAGGATCTGCTGGTGGTTCTGAAACTGGTCCATCAAGGAGAGTGGCAGACTACTGTCCCTGGGGATGGATTCTGTGGACTCTGTGTTCAGATTTACCATGGCCAAAGGAAAGGGGGAGACTGTGCAGTGCTTTTGATATCTTAGGATGGGATCTACTCATTGGGTATGATAGTCTTCAGTCCAGACAAGGCACACACGATGCCTTCCCTCCTACCATCTTCCCATTTCAGGAAACCAGACCTCTTTCTTGGGTGACCACACCTAGACACACATTAACAGCGCAGGCCTTGTCAATAAGTGGGGTTAAGTATTTGGAGATAAGCTGAATTTTAACATAATCTGATCAACACTGCTGAGACTGGGATCCCCACAAGGTGGCAGCAGTGAGACATTAGCACCATAGTAATGATGGACATTGCACTGCCAACATTCATAGGTTGAGGCTACCAGTTCCTTTTAGTGGAACCTGTATTACTTTGCACTACTAGTAAAAATATTCACTATACATGGAACATAAATAACAGGATAAGCCATCCTTTCAGTGTTGCTGAATCATATGATGGAGAAGTAGGAAAGAGCACTTTTATTTCCAGAGAATAATTATTGTATGTGCTACTGGATCTCTTAACCTCAATCAGGAATAGGATCTGTTATTTCAAAATCTGCTGTTGTTACAGAGCTGGAAATATGAAATTTGGAGTTTCTCCTATCTAATGTAGACTTTTGGTAAGAAGGAGTGGCTGCCAGTAGTTTTGGCGTCTCTGAAAGGATATCAGTCTTTTCATAGGGGAAGAGTGAACTTAGTTGTTTTAGTGATAATTTAAGAATTAGTTTTATTCCTAGAAAAATGTCATTCTGGAGGATTGCATATGCTCTTCGTATAAACAGACTGAATTAACTTAATTACTATACAATAAGAAATGCAAAGTTCCTTAAATATATGTCCATATGAGCACACATGTTTGTAAATGTATGTGTTTATAGCTTAAATATTTTTCTATTTAGGAATTTTTAAGATAAGCATTTATATCTATGAGGGCACTTTAAAAAGTTTGTGAAAAAAATGAAATTGAACCTTTATTTTAGCACAAAAACATTTTGAAATCCATGCACAGTTGTTTTTTTTTTCTTCACAACACGCATTTGCTAAGAATTTTCTTAGGTACCTGTTTACACAGACTCATTTATCTGCTACAAATCTGTGATGCATATATATGGATCCCATTCCTACATAGTGGGAAAGTTCTATAAGCTGCACGTTGAGGTCTTTGCTTTAGCTAAGTGGCATTTTATTTTCTAATTTTTAAAGAGACTTATTTATTTATTTTGAAAGTCAGAAAGGTCAGAGAAGGTCAGGGAGAAAGAGAGAGACAGAGAAAGAGAAAGATCTTCCATCTGCTGGTTCACTTGCCAGGTGGCTGCAACGGCCAGGACGGAGCCAGGCCAAAGCCAGGAGCCAGAAGTCAAACACTTGGGCCATCTTCTACTGCTTTTCTCAGGCCATGAGCAGGGAGTTGGATTAGAAGTGGAGCAGCTGGGATATGAACCAGCATCTGTGTATGTTCCCAGTGTCACAGACTGTGGCTTTCCTGGCTATGCTACAACACTGGCCCTGCTAAGTGGTATTTTAAAGCAAGCCAGTCTGCGTGTAGCTGTTTGAAGCTGGGAAAGCCTGAAGCCGACTCTGAAGCACAGGGCACCTTATGTTGGCACCAGGCATCCTCAGGATGATGCCCGCTCATTTGGAGGTACCCAGCCTTCCCCAGAGGCTGTGGTGGACAGGACCAGCTGTTCTCAGGGTTCAACATGCTCCCACTCTCTGTGGTTCTAAGCTGTGTAGTGGTGTCTATCTATGGTCTGTCCTGGTGGGTATCAGGATGAGGGCCTCCTAGAACTTTTATTAAAAACATGGAGCTAACATCTACTTATTTTGATGCCCCCCCCCCCGGTCACATTTTTGAAATCCAGGATGAGTTTTTCCATGATGCACATTTGACATGAACACTTTGAAGACACTTTGAAGTATGCTTGGATTTCAAAAAGCTGTTGTACCAAAATAAACTTTCAGGTTTCACTTTCCTGGAAACTTTTAAAAATTTTTATATTTTGCTCTTTATTTATTATTTATGAGACTAAGAGAACGAGAGTGAAAGCAAGAGAGAGAGAGAGAGAGAGAGAGACATTCTCTTGGTGCCTGCACATTATGATAGATGCGCTTTGGGGACCATGCACTCCCGGGCAGCTTTTAGATCTAGCTTCCTAAGCCTCAGACCCCCACAACGAGAGAGCTTGTATTTTCTTGCAGTTACATCCAGAAGAGCAGTTCTCTGGATCTGTGTGCATTGTTGCTGGCAGAAACAAATGCCAGCCCAGTGCTGTGCAATTGATATGTGATGTCTCAGACTCAAGGCTGAGCCAAAGTCGTTCCTAATAGAGTAGAGATGACAGATTGAGACTTTGTTTCTCTAGTCCTACAGTGGGAAAATCAGAAGGACAGAACTGTGATAGTGGGTTGTGATGCCTTTACGGTCACTTTGGAAAAGGAAAGCTCAGAACAATGTTAGGAAAGCAAATTGGAGAAAAAAATATATATGGGAGTATTTTAAAAAGTGTGTGGAAAAATGGAATTAAAAGTGAGTTTACTTTGATGCCAAAACTTTTTTGAAATTCATGCATAGTTTTTTTTTTTTTTTCACAATATACGTTTTCCACACACTGGAAAAGAGTTGTATGAATTTTTTGAGTCAAAATAAACTCATACTTTTAATCCCATCTTTACAAATTTTTTGAAGTATTATTGTATATGAATGATGTTTTCCTTATCTGTTTAATGAACACAATGTATTGAATTGATTTGGGAGGCAAAGTGATTTTTAAAATTCTTCCTAACAAATTTAATTAACTTGAGGTTGGTGTGTAAATGTTTCAGAGCAGTGCGTGGAGCTGTCACTCAGCAAATGTTAATACCACTTTTTACAGCGTGCACTTGAAAGGTGATTATTTAGAATCATCTCAGGGACATCTAGATTATTTCCATGATAGCAGCTCAAACAAAGATACTAAAGAGAAGCACACTGTCTTTAAAGAATGTGGGTGAATTTCACTCAGGGTTTTCTCAAACCAGGGTCTGGTGATACCTAGAAGCTTTGGAGTTGAATCATTCTGTCAGTGAGAAGAGGGAGAAAAAAAGAGAGCACTACCATTCATTGGTTCACTTTTCAAATGCCCACAACAGCCCTATGACCAGAACCAAGATTGGGAGCTAGAACACAATCCAGGTCTCCCACACGGGTGGCAGGGACCCAGGTACTTGAGCCATCAATGCTCCCTCCCAGAGTCTGCATTAACAGGAAGGTGGAGTCAGGACTGGAGCTGGGAATTGAATCCAGGTACACCAATATGGGATGCCGGTGTCAACTACTAGAGTTCAGGGGTGGCGAACTTTCTTTCTGGCAAAGGCCATTTGGATATTTATAACATCATTTGTGGGGTATAAAAAGCTCAAAGACCAATGTCTTCAGGAGGCTTTGGTTCTGAAACTGTCCTTGTGAACTCTGGAAGTTATGGGGAATCTTGGCAGGTAGCACACAAGTGTTCCTTAGGTTTATTCCTGGCACGAACTCTCCAGTGGTAGAAATTGCTTTACTTCTGCCAGGGACGGGCCTGCCTGCCCCAGGAGCTAGGGAAACTTGCCAGGCATTGTTACACTTTCACAAGAAGTTGTCCCCAAGCTGAGCCTTATCTCTTGGCTGACAACTGAGGCTTTTCTTGGTATGTCCCAGACAGCAGATGCTCTGCTGCTGGGAGGGGATTTCTGAGACAGCAGAGAGCCCTGCTTACCCTCAGCTGGGTCCAGACGTGAACAACAGAGGGAAACGCCAACCCCAAGGATGGGGCATTTGGGTGCTCATTGATCACGACATGCCTGAAATTCAGTGAGCATTTGACAAAGACACGGGATTCTTTCAGAAACAGAAACAAGTGCCGTTTTGTTTGCAAGACTGCTCTGACAGTAAATGTCAGGGTAACACAAGTTACAGCCCACGCCATCCTCTCTCACCATAGTTACTGATGTAGTGACTTGTCTTAACTCTTCGGGGTGTCAAACACCAAATGTTTTAATTTTTCCATTTATTCCCAATAGCTATGCTCTGTTGAACACTACCACACCTTTCTCTCTGAGCGGGACCCTGCTTAAGGATACAGTAGTCCTGTTACACTAACCTGTAGTATTTTCAGTTATTAAAACAGTCACATTCTAAGAATAACTAGCCCTGCTTATTTTTTTAAACCACACATTACTTCTTATGGAGAGAAATTTTACAAGCAGGGAAATGCACTTAAGTGCATTCAATGCCTTCCAACAAATGTAGTAATTATGTAGGATGCAAGATGAATATATAAAAATCAACTGAATTTCTACATGCCAGCAACTGAAAAACTGCAAAGAAAATTAAACAGTTCAATTCGCAATAACATCAAAAGTAATAAAAATTTATAAATAAAATTTGATTAATGATTTAAAAAATTTATTCATTTGAGAGTCCCTATCTACTAGCTCACTAGTAGATGACTGGCCAATACCAGGAGCCAGGAATGCTATCTAAGTCTCCCACATGGGTGATAGGAATACAGCCATCACTGATGCCTCTCAGGGTCTAAAGTAGAAGGAAGCTGGAGTCAGGAGCCAGACTTGGGAATCAATCCCAGATACTCTGATGTGGGAGATAGTTCTCTTACCCAATGTCTTAACTGCTAGACTAAGCATCTAACCCTTATCCGTAAGTTTTAGAAGTTAAGACAGGTACATGATAACTATAAAACCATTTAAAAAATTTCAAAGAATACCTTAAGAAATCCTCTTAAGAAAGAGGAAAGGCACCTATGTTCATGGATTAAAAAACATGATATTATTAAAATGGCAATACTTTCTAAATTGATCCACAAATTTAACATGACCTATCAAAATCCCAGCTGCCTTACTTTGCAAATTGACAACTTGATCCGAAAATCTTTATGGAAATTTTTAAGACTCGAAATAGTCAAAACAATCTTGAAAAAGAAGAACAAAATTGAAGGACTCTCATATTTTGATTCCAAAACTTACTTTAAAGCACCAGTAACCAATACATTACAGGCCTAGACTAAGAAGAGACATATAGGTCAGTGGAATTGAATAGGGATTTTAGAAATGAAACTCTGGGGCCAGTGCTGTGGCACAGCAGGTTAAGCAGCCGTCTGCAGAGCTGGCATCCCATGTGGATGCCAGTTCAAGTCCCAGCTGCTCCACTTCCAAAATCAGCTCTCTGCTAATGGCCTGGGAAAGCAGCGGAGGATGGTCCAGGATCTTGGGCCCCTGCCACTCATGTGGGAGACCCAGATGAAGCTCCTGGCTTCTGGCTCCTGGCTCCTGGCTTCAGCCTAGCCCAGCTCCCACCATTGTGGCCATTTAGGGAGTGAACCAGCAGATGGAAGATCTCTGTCTCTGTCTCTCTCTCTTTGTAATTCTGACTTTCAATTAAGTAAATAAATCTTAATAAAGAAATGAAGCCGTACATTTATGATACATTTTTAAAAATAATTCATTGTTAGATAATTCCTTTTTTGTTTTTAAAGATGTATTTATTTGAAAAGCAGAGTTACAGAAGAGAGGCAGAGAGAGGTCTTCCATCTGTTGGTTTACTTCCCAGATGGCTATAATAGCTCAAGCTACACTGATCCAAAACCAGGTGCCAGGAGCTTCTTCCGGGTCTCCCATGTGGGTGGAGGGCCCCAGGCGCTTGGGCCATCTTCTACTGCTTTCCCAGGCCATAGCAGAGAGCTGGATTGGAAGTGGAGCAGCCAGGGCTTGAATCAGCGCCCATATGGAATGCAAGCACTGTAGGTTGCAGCTTTTCTGCTGTGTCACAGAAATGGTCCAAATCAATTGATTTTTGACAAAAGTTCAAAAACACCTCAATGGGAAACAATAGGCTTTTCAAAAAATGGTGGTGGGATAACTGGATATCCATACATGTACAAAAGGTTTGACTGCTGCTTCACATTATATACAACAATTAAATCAAGGTGCTGGCATTGTGGCATTAACAGGTTATGCCACCAGCTGTGATGCCAGCATCCCGTATGAATGCTGGTTTGAGTCCCAGCTGACCCACTTTCAATACAACTTTCTACTACATTCCTGGGAAAGTAATGGAAGATGACCCATGTACTTGGGCCCCTGCCACCCATGTGTCTTCAGCCTGGCCGGGGTTTAGCTATTGTGGCCAGTTGGAGGGTAAATCAGCAGAGAAGATTTCTCTCTTTCTGTCTCTCTCTCTATATATATATGTAATTCTGCCTTTCAAATAAAAAATAAGCATTTTTAAAAATTAATTCAAAATGAATCATAGACCTACGTGTAAGAAGTAAAATTTTTAGAAGAAAACTCCAGAGTCAATCTTGTTACCTTGAATTAAGCAATAGTTTTTAGAGATGACACAAAAACTTCCAAGCAACAAAAGAGAGAAGTAGATACATGGGATTTCATCAAAAGCAAAAAATTTGTGCTTCAATAAATATAATTTAAAAATGAACAGAATTTATAGAATGGAAGAATATTTTAGAATGATATCTGATATGGACTTGTGTTAAAATATGCAAAGAATGTTTATAATGTAACAATAAAGATTTTTTTAAAGATTTATTTTTATTTATTTGAAAGAGTTACAGAAGGAGGTGAAGACAGAGAGAGAGGTCTTCCATCCACTGGTTCACTCCCCACATGGCCGTAATGGCTGGAGCTGCGCTGATCCAAAGTCAGGAGCCAGGAGTTTCTTCCGGGTCTCCCTGTGGTTACAGGGGCCCAAGGACTTGGGCCATCTTCCACTGCTTTCCCAGGCCATAGCAGAGAGCTGGATCAGAAGAGGAGCAGAAAGTAGAACCGGTGCGCATATGGGATGCCGGCGCTTCAGGCCAGGGCTTTAACCCACTGTGCCACAGCGCCGACCCTGTAACAATAAAGATTTGAGTAGATCTTTCTCCAAAGGAGACATGCAAATGACCAATAAGTACATAAAAAGATGCTCAATGACTTTAAAGGAATGTAAATCAAAATCACAATGAAGCACCACATATCATAGAACCATGAAACTAGAGTTAAAAGTACAGGGACTAGCAATAGTAGCAGCACAGCAGGCTAAGCAACCTGCAAAGCCAGCATCCCATACTGGAATGCTGGTTTGAGTCTCTGCTGCTCTGCTTCTTATCCAACTCCTTGTTAATATGACTGGGAAAGCAGAGGAAGATGCCTGGGTCCCTGCCACCCACATGGGAGACCAGGCTGGGGTTTCTGGCTCTTGGCTTCAGCTTGGCTCAACCCTGGATGTTGCGGTCATTTTGGGAGTGAACCAGTGGATGGAAGAGCTCTCTTCCTCTCTCTCAGTCACTCTGCTTTTCAAATAAATAAAACACCCTTTTAATAAAAAAGTTAAAAGGAAAGACAATGACAAATGTTGATGAGGTTATGGAGAAACTGGAGCTTTATCAACCATTTGGGAACTAGTTTGGTAGTTCCTCAAAAAGCTAAACAGGTTTACCATGTGAAACAGCAATTCTACTGCTAACAAACTGAAAACACATCCACACAATAACCTGTACATCATATCAGCATTACTTATAATAGAAAGTGGAAACAACACAAGTGTTCATCAACTGATAAATGGATAAAAAGATAACATGGTGTGCTTCTAAGTTCAAGATGGCATCCACTTCAGCTAGAGAAAAGTTTCAGAACAAGAGAGTAGCAGCATTTCCAGGAAAATGACTGGAGGAAAACTTCAGTAAAGACGTGATGGGAACTGCAAACAGCATGGTGACTCTAAGGGACAGTAGGAAGAGAGGAACAAAGCACGCTGCCACTGTCACCTGCTGCCCACCACTCCTACCGTGGCTCCCTGGGCAGTAAACACCATCTTGCCAGGAAGAGGGAGGCAGGAAGTGCTGCAACCCCTGACACTGCTGCAGATGGGCAGCCCTAACTGTGGGAGAATTCCAGTCCTCACTCACTTTAAATCAAGTCTAGAGGGCCAACTGGGGTCCAAATGACTACTTCGCTGCAACAAAAGAACCCATATTGCCTCCTTCCATTCCCCAAGCCCCAGACCTAAGCTGCTACAGAGAAGCTGCTGAACTCCACTGTCGCTCCCCCTCTTCGTGGAGGAATGACACTAAACCCTGCCTAGGCTTCATATCCAAGTCACGGCACCATTATGTCGCTCCCCTTCTTCGTGGAGGAACGACACAGGACCCTGCGCTGTTCTTTTGTCTGCTCGGCCTTCCCCGGGTTTGCTGCTGGTTCTTCCCGGGTTGGCTACCGACCCTTCCACCTACGTGGAAGGGCGGTTCCCCCTGCCACTTTCCCCACTTCTGCGGGGGAGCGGCACACCGCCGGCCGGCTCTCTTGGGGGCTGCACAGGCGTTCCTTCAGATAGATGTTCCTGGTGCATGTTGTCTCTCTCCTCCTTTATAGTCCTCTTCCACCAATCCCAACTCTGCTACCCACACGCCGAGTACGCTGCTCTCCTCCAATCAGGAGCAGGTCCTGCTGTTTATTGGTTGAACTGGAGGCAGCTGAGTAGAAGCTGTTTCCTCCTCTCCCAGCGCCATATTGTGGGAGAGCAGATGCATAGAATAAGTCTTAATTCCAGTAACTTAGTCTAGTCCGAGTTGCTCCCAGTTGCTCCCCACATTCCACCTGTGTTAGGGGGCAGCAAGCAGCCCTGTCACTACCTGAAGCCTCCAGACAGAGCAAGGGCCCTTCCCAGGGTAGAGACCAGGCCCTTCTGAGTCCTGTAGCTGTGGGAATTCTGAGCACAGCCCTAGAGCTGTGCTTACTCACTCTGTGCCACCTAAGAGAGACACCTTTGACTTAGAGCTAGCTCCAGCAGAAGCCCATACACAATGCCAGAGAACCCAACATGAGGCAGTCCTTTCTGCAGCTCTTAGCACAGGATTCTGGGTGGCCAAGGTGCAAACCTCAGCTTCACCCTTGCATGTCCTGAAGGAACTGGCAAGCTCACATCCATTTCAAAGTCATGTGACTACCTCTACAAACTTCTGCAGACTACACAACTATGGAACTTGTAGATACTGCTTACACTGATTAACACTAAAGAAATCACTCAGAGGTTACATTTCTGGGCTCACCTAGAATCAAAGCCAAAGCAACAACCCAATTGACACTACACATTCCATCTAGACATAAAGTCTTTCTCAGTGAAACCTACTCCATAAAAAGAAGGAGCTTTTATACCAGATATAAAGACATCAACATACAGACACAAGAAACATGAAGAAGTAAGGAAGCATGACATAACCAAGAGAACACAATAATTTTCTAGAAGAAAATCCTGATCCGAAGTAAATCTATGAAATGCATGAAATAAAATTCAAAATAATGATCTCAAGGAAATTCAATGAGGTGCAAGAGAATACAGGTACCCAACTTAAAGACATGAGGGAAACAATACATGATATGAATGAGAAAATCAACAAAGAGATAGAAATCGTTAAAAAGAATCCAGCAGAAATTTTGGAGCTGAAAACTTACATCAGTGAAAGTCAAAATACAATTGAGAGCCTAACTAATAGATCAAGCAGAAGACAGAGTTTCTGATCTGAAGGATCAGACTTGAAATAACCCAGACAAAAGTAAACAGAAAATAATTAAAAAGAATGAAGAAAGAATAACATATGGGATACCATTAAGCAAACAAATATTTGTATTACGGGGATGCCTGAAGGAGAAGAGGAAGAAAAAGGCATTGAGAACCTGCTAAATGAAATAATAGTTGACAATTTCCCAAGTCCTGAGAAAGATATGGACATGGAGACCCAGGAGACCCCAGCAGAATCAACCAAAAAAGATATTTTCCAATGATATTATAGTCAAATTGTCAAAAGTTAAAGACAAAGAGAGACTCCTAAAGAGAATGAGAGAAAAATGTCAACTCAAATGTAAGAAAAAATTAATTAGGCTAGCATCAGATTTCTCAGCAGAAACCATATAGACCAAAAGAGAGTGGGGTGATGTTTTCAAGGTCTTAAAGGAAAAAAGATTCCAATCAAGAATATTGTGTCTACTAAAACCATCCTTTAGAAGTGAAGGAGAAATGGCCAGCGCCGCAGCTCACTAGGCTAATCCTCCGCCTTGCGACACCGGCACACCGGGTTCTAGTCCCGGTCGGGGCACCGGATTCTGTCCCGGTTGCCCCTCTTCCAGGCCAGCTCTCTGCTGTGGCCAGGGAGTGCAGTGGAGGATGGCCCAAGTGCTTGGGCTCTGCACCCCATGGGAGACCAGGAGAAGTACCTGGCTTCTGCCATTGGATCAGCACGGTGCGCCGGCCGCAGCGCGCTGGCCGCGGCGGCCATTGGAGGGTGAACCAACAGCAAAAGGAAGACCTTTCTCTTTGTGTCTCTCTCACTGTCCACTTTGCCTATAAAAAAAAAAAATTAAAAAAAAAAGAAGTGAAGGAGAAATAAAGTGTTTCTTAGACAAGCAAAAACTGAGTTCATTCATCACCATCAGACCAGCCTTACACAAAATCCTGAAGGGGGTCCTAGATTAGAAGTAGTCATCATGAAAACACATGATAGTACCAAATTCATTAACAGAGTAGAAAGTAGAAAGGATTTGTCTTTAGATCTGGGACAGATCTCAGTACTATTATTAAATATAGTATTGGAAGCATTAGCAAGAGCAATTAAGGAGGAGAAAAAAATAAAGGGCATTAAAATATCTGTGTTTGCAGATGACTTGATGAGGTATCTGGAAAAGCCTACACATTCGACCAAAAAGTTGGTGGAACCGATAAACCACTTAAGTAAAGTTTCAGGATACAGAATCAACATACAAAAGACAGTAGCATTTTTATACACCAAAAATGCTCTTGCTAAAAGAGAAATCCTATTCACATTAGGTATATAAATCAAATATTTAGCAATAAATACAACTGAAAAAGTGAAAGATCTGTACAAAGAAAATTATAAAAATTTATTAAATAAATCATTAAGGATACAAAAATGGAAAGTTATTCCTTGCTCACAAATCTGAAGAATCATTAAAATACTCATAATACCTAAAGCAATCTACAGATTCAACATAATCTTTATCAAAATACCAATGAGATTGTTTACAAACTTAGAAAAAACACTCGCAAAACTCGCAAAAGACCAAGAATAAGCAAAGCAATCCTGATTGAGGGAATAAAAGGAAGAAAAAGCTGGAGGCATCCTAATAACTGATTTCAAATTTCAAAACATACTATAAAACTACAGTAATTAAAATAGCAGGATATTGGCATAAAAACTGACACAAAGATCAGTGGAACATAACACAGAAACAAGAAATTAATTCATATACATATAGCCAACTAATTTTTGACAAAGGTGCCAAGAACATATGTTGGAAAAAGATAGATTTTTCAATAAATGGTGCTGGTAAAACTGGACTTATTACAGAAGAATGTCAGTAGAATCCTACCTCTCACCACACACAAAAATCAACTCAAGATGGATTTAAGACTTAAATTTAAGACCTGAAACTACAACATTCCTAGAAGATATTATAAGTGAAACCCTTCAAAACATGACTTCTTGGATAAAACCCCAAAAGTGCAGGCATCAAAAGCAAAACTAGACAAATGGGATTACATCAAACTGAGAAGCTTCCGCGCAGTAAAGGAAACCATCAATAGGTGAAGAAACACCCCCAAAGTGGGAGGAAAATGTCTGCAAGCTACTTACATGACAAAGAACTAATATCTAGAACATATCAAGAACAACAACAACAACAACACACACACACAAAAACAACTAATCCAGCAAAGAAATGGGAAAAGAAGAAATAAATGGCCATTGAATACATGAAAAAATGCTTTACATCTCTATCAGGTAATGTAAATCAAAGCCATAATGAAATATTGATTCTTACAATCAAAAAAAAACAGAG